GGATGGGCGGCTTGAAATCGGGAACAAAAAGCAAATTTGGGAAAACTCTTACACCAGGAAACAAATTGACCATTTTACAGACATTTCATTCAAGGATCCATGATTGTCACAAGGGAATACAGAAAAAAACCCAAACACATTCACCATATCGGCCCGCAATGAAGAAAGGGAGACACACTTTACACTGCATTTCTTTCTAGTAAGTGAAGTAAAAAGCAATTATTACAATTTCAGCATAAGCTATTTCACAGTGTGCTGTTGTTGCGAAATAAGGGCATTCAGTTTCTGCTTTATTTTCTGAACAGGTACAGAACACAGTTGATAGATGTTGCATTCTCTCCTCTGCAAACACATTAGCATTTGGCTGCCTTGCACACATAATGAATCTGAAGACATGAACAGAGATCATAACATACTGCACAACGTGCTCACGCTTGGTAATTTGCAGTACTTATATTTGTTACAGCAATTCATCAATGCTCAGTGTGTGTCAGCCCTCCTATCTCCCACCGCCCAGCTGGCTAGCAAGTCATTTACAATCCTGTCACAAACCCTCCTCTCAGTCTGAAACAGGTTTCACCCCCATCTCTCTTTCGCCATTTGTGTGGCTTCCCCTTCAGCCCTTCTTATAATCAGAATCCTCTTTCCGTCTTGTGAAATCTTAAGCCTGTATTCACTATTGAGATCACGTTAGCTCCCCAACATGAAAGATCACATTTGGTAGAGGGTACATTGGAAACCCCAGCCTGCCCATACCTCAGAGTGGAACCAGCGACAAGATCACAACCCTCTCCCCTGATCCCTGCACAACCTGTATCCTCTCCCTTTCACCTTCAGAAAATCTCACAAAACAAATCCTATTTTAAAAAAAAACATTGCGAGGATAAAGCACCCAGTATTATGTAAGTGGTCCAAATTTTGCTGGCATATTTATACAGACTTTTTCCAACTGCCCTTCAGCTCAGAACATTTCTGCCCTGCAGGTTGCTGCAAATGAAGCTGATAACAAGATTGCGCGTCCTGGATGAAGCCCAGAAGTGACAGCCTGGCTCTTTAACCAAAGGGATTAAAAGATTAAGAATGAAACTGAGGAATAATGGAGAAGGAAATGCAGCAAATACATCAAACCAGGCCCTGAGAAAAAAGATGAAAGGGCGGATTAACAGAGACAAAATAAAATGGCGAACTAACTATTTATTTATTTTTTAATTTTAAATCAACATCAATCTCCAACAGCAATTTGCTACCAGTAGGAATGAGACTTGACATTTTAAATTGATTGCTTTCTGGGTCAGAGGTTGAGGGTATAGCAGGAGCATACATTTCCTCATTAAAGGAGTTTTTATTTGCTAATACTATTCTTTCTATGGTGAGTTTGTAGATGTATGCAGCAACTTAATCACAGTGGCTCAGTGGTTAGCACAACTGCCACATAGGGCAAGGGACCTGGGTTCAATTCCAGCCTTGGGTGACTGTGGAGTTTGTAGAGTCTCCCCGTGTCAGTATGGGTTCCCACCCGGTGCTCTGGTTTTCTCCTGCAATCCAAAAATGTGCAGGTTAGGTGGATTGGCCTTGCTAAATTGCCCATAGTGTGCAGGCAGTGGATTAACCATAGGAGCGTTATAGGGCAGGGGGTGAGTCTGGGTGAGATGTTCTTTGGAGAGTTGGCTTGGGCTGAAAGGCCTGTTTCCACACCATAGGGATTCCATGGATCATAGGGAGGTGAAGGATGAGCAAGCAGTGTCCTGAGACCTCATGGTAGAGGGACACAAATTTTCCAGTGATCTGTAGTGATTCAACATTTAGGGGAGAATCTTTTTCTTACCATAAGTTGCTGGGTGACTTTGTACATTAGTGATGCTGAAAGCCGTTAAACTCAATGTTATTTAAGTCACAAATTCTGGGACATTATTTCAGGGCAGCAAGTGGTTACAGATAGATTAGTTTCCCAATCAGCCTGTTTGGAAAAGTTATGACACATTTCTGGAGCAGGTGGGACTTGAATCTAGGCCTTCTAGCTCAAAGGTAGAGACACTACTGTTGCACCCTCTTTGCTGATTAATGGTAAGCTGATGATAGAGGCAGACAAATGCCATATTTGCTGCAACTCCTTGCTCAGCCAATGAATATACTCAAAGTATACTCCCTTTTAGTATAAGGAAAGAACCACATCCACGCAGCAGTAAAGCAGTAGACAACAGGAGCAGCATAGTGGTTAGCACTGCCGCCTAACGGTGCCAGAGACCTGCATTCGATTCCACCCTCAGGCAACTGTCTGTGTGGAGTTTGCACATTCTCCTGTGTCTGTGTAGGTTTCCTCCGGGTGCTCCGGTTCCCTCCCACAGTCCAAAGATGTGCAGGTTTGGTGGATTGGCCATGCTAAATTGTCCATAGTGTCCAGGGATGTGCAGGCTGGATGGATTAGCCATGAGAAATGCCAGGATAGAGAAGGGATGTGTGGAATGCTGTTCAGAGAGTTTGTGTGGACTTGATGGGCCAAATGGCCTGCTTCCACACTGTAGGGATTCTATGATTGCAACAGTCATGTCCTTTTTTTTTCTGTCTCCATTATGTTTAAAAAGCAAAATCCTGGATCCTTTACAAATCTACCACTATTGTCAGTCTTTAGAGGAACATTATCTCCTTTTCAGTCTGAGACAGCAATTCTTAAAAGCTATTTATGAAAAATATAACTGGAAGATCTAAAGGCCTGGAAATTGGAGATTTTCAAACATTGGTAAATATAGCCTGAAAAATGATTTGCACTTTCTCCCTTCTCTGGAGGAATGCATTTTGGGATCACAACAAGAGGCAGGTTCCAATGCTTCCAGACTGGATACCAAAACAGTTCTGTTTCTGCTGCTGTAAAACAGAAATGATAATAACCAGAACACAGACTGACTACCAGAGATGATATTTTGTAGGATTTTGCGCAGACTGAATGTTCATTTCTGTTTGTCAGAATACTGAGCTGCGTTTCCAGTCTAGAATGCTGGTGTCAATGGGCAGAATCTTGTGCCCTCCTGCTTCACAGGTTGGTCAATGGGAAGGGCATTTAATCAGGTAAGTGGTTGGTGGGGAGGCACTGCTATCTTCCCGTCTTCACCCAGTTAAGTCCTTGGCAGGATGACTCAGAACAGTACTTCCCACTCTGCCAAAAATTGACACCTCTAAGTGGGCAATTATGCCCAATTGTGCCACTCAACACACTGCCACTGGTATTAAGCCAGCAAGGGGCACTGTAAAGCACCAGAAGGGGAGCTGGGGCTGGTCACTAGTTCTCAGGCTGGGGGGGTGCAGGGAAGTTGGGGAGGGTGGTGGGAGTTTGATGCCTCTAGAGCAAAAATGTTGTGAGATCCACCATCTCCTGTCTGCCGTCCTTATCTTCCCTCTCCCCCATGACTTACCACCCCAGCAACCACCCCCCCCCCCGCGACCCCACCACCTCCCCCTCTCCCCCCCACCTCCCCCTCTCCCCCCCATTTTCCAAGGCTTTGGTTGGTGTGGTACAGGCAGATGATACCAACTCCCCAGTGCTGATGTTGGCTATAAAAAGATTGTCAGCCTTCGGCTCCAAAATCTGCCACTTCCCACTTGGACAGAATTTTGAATCAGGAGGAACAAGGTGAAGCCCATCATGTTTACTTGGCTTGGGCCCTGGGCAGCGAGAGTGGGCATCTTACTCAAAAGTCCCCTTTTCCACAATGGGCACCCCACTCCCTCTCTCAAAGTGTGCCACCCCTCTGTGGAGGCTGTCACCCCAATGCCAACACCCCCAGCCTCTCCATCGAGGCCCACAATCCTCTGCCCCTCTCCCTTGGGCCTCACCTCCCTTCCTGGCCAGGAAAGCCCCAGCCCCATCCTGATCTCTGGGGACCCTCCCCTGGCCACTGGAGCTGCCAAGGCTGAGGCAGAGTGTGTGCCAGAAGTCCTGCCACTGACACTTTTCGGAGCATTAAATGGCATGGCGCAGGGGTCTGTGATCCGTGGAGATTCCATCTCTGCCGTGCCTTCAGTTGGTGGGGCAAAAATTTCTGTCATCTGAAAAATCCTGCCCAAGTGGCACAAGGTACAGTAGGCTTTGCAGCCAAGACCCCCATTCCCTTTACAACATTCCCACCCACTTGGTAACATCTAATTGAGGTCTAATATGGGATGAATGGGATATAAATCCTCCCCCACTTTACTCTTACCCTTCCTTTAAAAGAGCTCAATCCAGTTGCATCACTTTTTATTTTCACTTCCCACGCTAGCATTCTCCACTTGGAATTCCGAATAGCTTCGTACTCAAGTCCCACATCCCTGGATTGTGATTGCCAAACTTTCAGAACCTGAAGAGCTCTTAAGAGGAGAAAGCCGCTCACTTAGCAATGCCAGGTTTAAACTCACACACTGGAGGTGAAAGAGCAGTTTTACAGCATTGTGCCATTCAGCATCTATACTACTACACTGCACAATCAAACAGTAGTAAAGGAAAACATACACACAGTACAACTCAGCTGTAATTTTGTTTCAAGATAATGGCTGTCCTCACATAAAAATGTAAGTGTTAAGTCAATGATTTCTTACCATGAGATGCATTTTGCAAAGGCTTTTGTAAACAAAATCACTAACCCAATGGGGCTGATTGATTCATTAGACTTGTACCACCAGAAATGAAATGCAGACCACTTATTTTATGTGGGGAGTGTAACTCCTCCCATATGTATGTTTAAAGAGAGCCCCCAACTTTCAAAGTCTACGCCTTCCTTCTTTACCAAAGAGCAACTGTACACACACACACACACACACACACACACACACACACACACACACACATCTTAAATAAACACGGAGGACCACCAACAATTGCAGTTAACACTCACATTTAGCCCAAAGTGAGCTCTGGACCTTTAAAAGATTTTGCAGTGCTCCCCACAAGCACTTGGCCAACTACCAAGCAGTGGAGAGCACTTTGTCAGAACTCATGAGCATCACTAAGTGTGACTGGGGCACCTTCCTTAAATCTGACTCGTTTGCATGCAGCCATTTGGTTCAGCCAATCTCTGTGTCATACACGTATCTGGAAATCGACTCTTCTCTTGCTTCTGTTCAGTTGTATCTTCGATGCCATTGGACTTGCATGAGCACAGAACTTTCTGGAAACTCTTCTTGAAGTTGTCGGACAGAAACCCATAGAGTACAGGATTGGCGCAACTGTTGGCATAGGAGAGGACCACCACAAAGAAATATATTCCCACAGAAACAGGTTCCTCTGGCAAGGTGGAAATTTGATTAACAATATTCAGGATGTAAAATGGGAGCCAGCAAATCACAAATACAACTACAATGACAATCACCATTCTGGTAACCTTTCTCTCAGACTTTCTTCGTTTGGTTGATCCAACACGTAAACCAGAAGACTTAACTTTGATTATAATCAGCAGGTAACAGAGGCATATTATTAACAGTGGGCCAAAGAAGCCCAGAACTGCTGTGTATATGATAAAGGCTGCACCCCAAACTGACTTGGGCTCTGGCCAGTTAATGTTGCAAGTGTTAATATCAGTTTGGACCTCAGAGTATATGATAACCGGAAGAACAACCACAATGGATGATATCCACACAGAGGCATTGATCATCTTGGCAATCCGAGGACAACGCCATTTGGTGGATCTGATAGGATGCACCACCGCAAGGTAGCGATCAATGCTCATTACGGTCAGGCAGAAGATGCTGGTGAACTGGTTGATGCCATCGACAGTCAGGACCAGCCTGCACATGAAGGATCCAAATGGCCAATAGCTCAAGGCATTTTGAGCAGCAATAAAGGGCAGTCCAAGCATAAAGAGTTCATCAGCCACAGCTAGGTTCAGGATATAGATATTGGTCACTGTCTTCATTTTGGCATAGCATACAACAACATAGATAACTAGAGTATTCCCACTGAGACCTACTACACAAACAATGAAATAAATTACAGGAAGCACAATGGTGTGAACGCTAGACATGAATGGCTCTCCGTGCGTCCCGTTATGGGATTCATTCCTGAATGCCGATCCATTGCTCTTCTCTGTGCTTTGTTCCCAGAGAGGGACAGTGGATATCTTTAGAGGCTCCATCTCTTGCAGTGTAGTCCTCAAGGTTTCACTCTGGACAAAATTGTACCTATGTCCAATGTTCCCCTAGGAAAAGAATTAAAGGAAATGTTGAAGGTTTGAAAGAGTAGGTAGAGAAAAAAAAAATCCCTCTTCAGGACAAGGTAAGACATAGATCTAATTGATGAAATAGGCTCAACTCATTGAATGGCCGATATAAGAATTTTCCATTTGTAAAATGTTAAAGTGACATGTGTTTAATTCAATCCATACAGGATGTTGATTCAGCATGTAAGGCAGAGATGGCAAAGCTCCACAAATCTATATCAAGTCTTCCTGGTGTTCAAAACATGCAATGCCTTTTGTTTTAATGGTGGGGGGTTTTGTAAGATTTTGGTGATCTAAACCTGGGGAAATGGTAGGTGACTTGTGACATTTAACTCTCCGGGAGAGAGGAAGAGATTGATCGGGAATGAAATACCACTCCTGTCAAGTGATTGATTGCAAAACACATATCTTTAAACTAACCACATGGGGAGCAGAGGTCACTCTGCTGTCAGTTAAATCTTTATGTTCTGAACTGTATTCCTCATGTTGCATTCTGTTCATTCTCACAGTTTCCGGAGTTTCTTCGTGGAATCCTGCACGTGTCCATTTTACGAGGTTGGACACAATAGGATAACATTGGCAACCTCATCAACAATGACTCATGGAATCAAAACACTCTTGAGTCTTTACATTTTGGGTCAAGGTCATTGCCACACCCTTGAGTACAATACCTGGAGGCGAAAGCGCCAGTGCTGGAATGAGGCAATGCTGTACAATCTGAGATGCTGCCTTTCAAATTTGCTGTTAAACTGAGATCCTGAGTACTGAGACATGTAAAAGATACCATATATTGAAACAATATACGAGTGTAAATAGATCCAGGAGTCCAACTGCCTCCAGAGGGAAGTTGATAAATTCTCCCTGGAACAGGACGAGGGAGTCAAACTCAACTTTCAATTTGCCCATTGACACAGTTTACAGTGCTTGGGTTTAGCATTGATGAGAAGATCAAATCACGGGTATGAAATCTCTATGGTGTTGATCTAGAGATGACATTCCATCCTGTACATTCCATGATGTTGATGGATAATGATTCCCAATGAGGAATTAATGATTCCGACAGTGATTTAATTTTCAATAAATTAGCAATCATTACTGAGAATCTCTGAAGGCAGCAGTAAAGTAATCTGATCATTAGCTTATTTTTCTACTCATAACATTGTTTTAATCAGGAAATATCGTTATGAATAATTCAATACATGTAGCAAGTCTGTATGATTATCAATGGATCTGTCTAAAACAATGGGTCACTGTTTTGAACCGAATGAACCAGATATTATGGTTTTTAACCACTTCCGAAGTAATGAGGCAAAAGTGGGCCAATTGCCTGAACACCTCAGTCCACTCCCTGCTTGTCTTTACCTGCAATTGAAATTCACTGCACATTGCTGGTGTGTCTCTTAACATGATGGGGCATGGTTTTAATCTCATCCCTTTTGAGAAGGTTGCACATGAGATTTGCCAGACTAACACCAGAAATGAGGGGGCTTCAGTTACATGGAAAGACTGAAGGAAAACACTTGGTTCTACTTCCAGCAGGGAAGCACATTGAGAAACTGGTGTTTTTACTGGTGAGTAACTAAAGGGCAGAAGTTTAAGGGGACCTGAGGAGAATCTTTTGAATGCAGTGGATTGTTAAGATCTGGAATGCATGACCTTACTAAATAATAGTAACAGACCCAACAGAGAATTGGATATATGTTTGAAGGGGATCAATTTTCAAGCCTATGGGGTTGTACTTGGGGAGAGGGACTCCTTCAAACAGCCAGCACTGGCCCGATGGATCAAATAGTCTTTACTGTAACTGATTGTCTATCATTCATTTTTGGAAAATAAGACAATAAGATATAAAAATGCTTCATATTTCAGTATGGTTGAGTGACTCATGTAAATTAGACCTGAAGATTTCTCAACTGTATTGAATGGCAACTGTGTGATGCCTATCTGGTTTGGATAGAAGATTTTGTCACTCTGGGCGTGCAGGAGAGTGGGGACCCGAAGACGATCTATTTCCTGGGGCTCTAAATGTTTTAACTCCTCATTCTCACTTTAAATTGTGCCTGCTGATATCTGAACTCGTCGTCAAACTGAGAGAAAGTAACTGAGACAAAGGACTTGGAATTACTGTTATGTCTCATCATTTTCATGGCACTAGATTTGATTCTTCGTCCTTAATGCTGCCTGATAAAACAGATTTGTTGGAAACCTTGCCATTTATATCAAAAAAATCTGAAAATCAATGGAAAGAAAAAAAAGTTTGTATTTATGTAACTGCTTCCATGACCTCAGGATGTCCCAACATGCTTTACGCACAATAAAGTGCTTTTAGAAATGTAGTCAGGGTTTCAACATAGGAAATGCACCAGCCAGTTTGTACACAAGGAATTTTCAAACATAGCATTGAGGGCAGGGAGCAAACACTTGTTTTAGCTTTGAGGAAGAGTCACTGGACCTAAAACATTAATTGCTTTCTCTCCATAGATGCTGCCAGATCTGCTGAGTCTCTCTAGCAATTTTTGCACTTGTTTCAGTGATGTGTTGGTTGGAAGGCAAGTATCAGTCAGAACACTAGGAGAAACTCCCCTGATCATCTGTGAAATGGCACTATGGGATCTTTCACCTCCACCTGAGTGGGCAGACTAAGCCTCAGTTTAATGGGCAGTACCCCTGACAGCGAGTGCAATGTTCTCTGAGTAATTATGATGTGGAGTTGCCTGTGTTGGTCTGGGATGGACAAAGTCAGAAGTCACACGACACCAGGTTATAGTCAATGGGTTTATTTGAAATCACAAGCTTTCGGAGCGCTGCTTTAACAGCTGACGAAGCAGGAGTACTCTAAAAGCTTGTGGTTTCAAATAAACCTGTTGAACTATAACCTGGTGTCATGTGACTTCTGACTCTTCAGTAATTCAGGGAGATTCATGCTCACATCCCCTGGGGTGGGATCAGATCGCACAACCTTCTGATTCAGAGACAAGTGTGCTACCAAAGGAACCACAGCCAGAATTCAACATGTGAATCACTGGTGGGCCATTCAGCCCCTTTAGGTTCCTCTCCTATTCAAAACGATAATGGCTGATCTGACTGTAATCTTAATTCCACATTGCCACCTCCCCCCGATAACCTTTCACCCCCTTACTTAACAAGAATCTACCCCTTTCTGCCTCAGAACTATTTAAAGATCTGCTTTCACCACCTTTTCAGGAAGAGAGTTCCAAAGACCCATGACCCTCTGAGAGAAAAGACTTCAACTCCCTGTTTTAAATGGACAACCCCTGATCTTTTAAACAGAGACCCTGGTTCAGGATTCTCACATAAACATCCTAACCACATCCATTCCGGCAAGTTCCCTGAGGATTTTATATGTTTCAATCAAGTCATCTCTTACTCTCCTGAAGGTACAAGGTTAGCTTGTCTAACCTTTCCTCAGAAAACAGCCAGCTTATTCCCGGTAGGAGTCTGGCAAACCTTCTCTGAATTCCCTCCAACATTTTTACATCCTTCCTTATTTAAGGTGACCAATACTGCACACAGTACTCCATTAATCGATTACTCAATTAATAACTTACCAGGCTTATCGAACAAAGAGTAAGAGGTGTGAAGGGGCACTGTATAGCATCTCTTGATTAAGCTTCAACTGTACCTCACTGCATTCCAGGGGATTCCTTACACATTAAACTTTGACAGCTCATATTTCTGCTGCTTGAAGGTATACAAATCGGGTTTGTCCTTGGTGTGTGCATAATGTCTAAATCTCTATGCATGACAAACTTCATAATAATGGATTGCTCAGTCACTATGTTCAGACGTTATTAAACACAGAGATGTCACTTTTCAGTTGAAATATTAAATTGAGACTCCCACCTGCCCTCTCAAATGGACGTGCAAGATCTGCTTGAGGGGTGACCTAATAGAGATTTATAAAATTATGAGGGGCATTGATAAGGTGAATAGCCAAGGGCCTTTTCCCCAGGGTGGCAGAGTTCAAAACTAAGGGGCATACTTTTGGTGAGAGCAGAAAGTTTTAAGAAGGACGTGAGGGACAACTTTTTACACAGAGAGTGGTTCACGTGTGGAATAAACTGCCAGAGGAAGTGCTGGATGCAGGTCCAGTTACACCATTCAAAAGACATTTGAATGGAAACATGAAGAGGAAATGTTTGGAGGGATATGGGCCAGGAGCAGGAAGGTGGGACTAGTTTAGTTTGGGATTATGTTCGACACGTACTGGTAGGGCTGAAGGGTCTGTTTCCGTGCTGTATGACCCTATGACTGTAGGTCTCTTAGTGCAGAGATGTTCGCTCAAGTGTCCTGACAAATAGGTACCTCTCAAGCCACATTGCAGACACAATGTTTTTAGCCATTATGACATTACTGTTTGCAGGAGCTTCCTGAATACAAATTTACTAATGTCTCTTTTCTAGATTACAACAGTGGCTACGCTTCAAAAATACTCCTTTGTCATTTCAGACATCCTAGATTCATATATCAAAGCAAACTTTCTCTTTCTTTGCAAGGCTTACTTAATAAGTAATATTAAGATAATAGCAATGACCTCAGTGTTAAAAACGGGAAAACTGATCAGAATCTTGCTCCTGACAAATGAGCAATGTTCCCTTTGAGAATTGCATGTGCGGAGGTATCAAGTAGATGATATCTGGACTGAGTACACTAATCTGTCAGCACTCACTGTCCAAGGAATGGGTTGCCTTGGTTTACCAGAAGGCTGCTGGTGTCCAAAAGGAAACAAAAACAACATAAGTTATTCCACTTCTAATAGGCAGTCTGCTTTAATATTGCTCTACCAATGCTAACCCACGGGACTTGACATAATAGGGTAACCAAAGGCAACAATTCTTGAATTGCGTTGAGATAAACAGAAAGAATGTCAGTAATCAGTTAAACACCCAAAGAATTGAAGCAATACTCAGCAAATTGTGAATAATTTTGACATTGTCAATGAACATGGGAATAAGTGGTGAAATTGATACTGTCAAATTATTGTCTGAAGATAAAATGATCCATTGTTGGTAGAAGGCATAGTGACTGCAAAACCAGTCTGAGTTGCTCCATGCCATACTTACAGTCCCACTCAAATGTGATAAACAGCAGATAAGGACATTCAAGCTTGAAATATCAGTATCACAAAAGTGTTACACTTATCAAACCATTCCTTTGTCTCCCCTTTTACATGTTTCATTTTAAAACATTGACAGAGATGAATGCCGAGTCACTTTCTTGTGCACCAGGTGTTGATGTAAAATTCAAAAGTGGACTTTACACTTGGAAAAGTGCTGGTGTATCTCCACCACTGGCTCACCAAATCAAACCAAGCTGACAGGAGGAAATTATCTTTTCTCTGCTGACCAGTA